GTGCTCACTAACGTTTTTGAATAAGAGTGTGTTTGGTAGGGATTTTTGGAGGAAGAATTGATTTTTGAATAGTGATATGATGGGAAATGTGTGGTTGAAAAAGAAAAAAAAAGTATTGATGTGACGGAAAATATTATTTTATTGAAGAATGTGTGGTTGAAAATGAGAATTGATTTACTGTAGAAAATGAAAATTTGTACCAAACAGACTCTAAGTAATAAAGACCCTAATCAAAAGCAAGAGATTCCAATGATCAGGTATGCTCACAAAAGAAGGAAATGAAAACAGGGAGGTATGAGTGGTAAAACTAGGTTATAGCAAGACAACAAATGTTGGATAGCTCTTATTGGAGGAAGAAATTTCAGGTCACCTTCGATTTATGAATTATTATTCGTTATAAAAAAAAATATGGCTAAACAATATTTCATAAGTAATTCAGTTCTTTTAATTTAAAGATAGAAGTTTTGTCTTCATTTATTTTTGGAATGTGTATTTAATTCGGACTTTTAAAGATTTTTTAAGCGAATAATTGTTGTATAATTTAGTTCATGTGTGACAATCGTTCTTTTAAAATTCTTTTTTTCTCATATTTATTTTCAACTACACATTCTCATGATAAAAAATATTTTTCATGTAAATTCAAAACTTTTTCCTAATTTTTAACTACACATTTTCCAAAAATTTAGGTTGCGTTTGGTTTGCTATTTTCAAACTATTTTCAATTTTCAGATTTGCAAAACACTAAAAATTTGTTCGTTTTGATATTTACGAAAATTCATTTTTGAAAATGATGTTAAATTTATAATATAAAACTGAAAACGCATTTTTGACTTACGTTTTGAGTATTTTTAGTAAAAATTTTGAAAATACTCAAAACGTGAAAAATAAGTGTTTTACTAAAAAGGTAATTAGCTCATAACGTTCTTACATTTTATTATTATTGTGGAAAACGCTTTTATCTTTCATTGTTTGGCATTTTTACTTTTCATTGTGCAAAAGTTTATTTATATCAATTTTTTCAATTAAAAGATGTGAATTGATGAATACACCATTCTATTTAAAACAAAAAGAATAAAAAACTAATTGCAATCATAGTCTCAAATTTTTTTAAAAATGATAACGAGTCTCAAATAAATTAGTAAAAGAGTAATTGTCACATAATATCCATATTTTTCACTATTATTGTGAAAAAAAATCATTACCTTTCAATTTTTTGAGATTTTCAACCTCAAACCATCATTTTTATCAATTTTCATCTAACTTATCAATCAAAGTTATGAAATGACGAATATACCATTCTATATATATATATAAGAATTAATTGCAACTATAGTCCCAATTTTTTTAAAAAAATTGCAAACGATTTTCAAATAAATTATGAAAAATAGAAATTAAAAAAAATTAATTTTATTTTTTTATTTAAATAGGAGTACATATTCGTCATGTCATAACTTTTATTGAGAAATTGGATGAAAATAAATGAATCTCACAATCAAATGTGTAATTAAGGGTGAAAATATCAAAAAAAGAAAAATATAGACTTTTTCACAATAATAATGAAAGGTATGAACATTATGTTAATTACCATTTTGGTAATTTATTTGAAACTCGTTTGGCACTTTTTTTAAAAAATTGGGACT